GCCGGGGCGGGACGCCGGGCTCCGGGCGGCAGAGGGCGGGGTGGAGGCTGGAGGGCGCGCCGCGGCCGAGTCTCCGCGCCCGGGCTCCCCCTAAGCGGCCCACGCGGGGGCTCCCACTTTGGGGGGCAGCGGCCCGGGCCGCGCAGGGCTCCGTGCAGACCGCGCGGCCGGCTGCGACGGGAGACGCCGGCCCCGGCCCGGCCCGGTACTCACGCTGGCTTCATGGCAGCGGGCTCCGTGCTGCCCGGAGGCGCGCGCGGGACGCCGGGCTCTATCTGGCGGGCTGGCGAGGGCGGCAGGCCGCAGGGACGGGCCACGGGAAGCGGGACTCCACGGCTCAGGCGCGGCGCTCCGAGAAGCCGGTCGACGCCGCCGCGAGCCCAGGTGAGCTCGCGCCCGGCGCATTTCAAACGGGCCAATCAGCGCCCGCCCGCGGGGAAGGGGCGGGGCCTCAGAGGAAGTGACTGCTCTGCCGGAAGTGGCGCTCGTCTCCTAGGCGACCGCGGGAGTGAGGCGCGAGTTGTCTGCGTCTCCGGGCTGCGCTCAGATGTAATGAAGTCCATCCCCTTCCATTTTCCCATGAGGAAACTGAGGGCTTATTTTACTACAGTACAAGAAGTCCAACGGAAGGGCCAGTCCAGCGTGCATTCAGAGGTCAGCGGGGTTCCCGCACAGGAGTGTCCTATTGTGCGGTGCCCTGCACAGCCAGACTCCGCGTCTGGCTTCCATATCACCACATCATGTTGGCGTCCTCTCCCCCCTTCACGTTTCCTGGGTTCTCCCTTCCTGGTTCCTCCAGCTCTATCTTATACATACATTCTCTTATCAAATTATTTTCTCTTTTATCACATTCTTAACAATGTTTGATCCTGAGCATTGCTAAAAAGAAAACCACTGGCCCAAGATGGAGTCCCTTATGCTATGCCAGGTCACCAAACCGGGGCTTAATATCTTAATGTCTTAATATCACCTAAGTGTAGTTTCTACCCCTCCCATAAACGTACTCTGAACCGGTCAGTCAGGAACTTTCTGGTCCGCACCAATGAGGTAATCTGACGCAGGGGCCCTCTGCGTCTCCCCTCTCCCCTTGCCCCCTACCAAAGGAAGATGAGATGACCTTCCAAATAAGACCCCTGCCCTCCCCGCTTAGGGATGGTGACCTGGCCTGAAACAATCCTGACTTTTCTTTTACCAGTAACTTCCTTACCCTACCCTCCTTCCTATGGAAGCCTTACATTTTGTATGGCTCCTGGGAGCATCTCTCTGCTTGCTAGATGGGATACTGCCCCATTCATGAATCGCTTAATAAAACCAACTTGATCTTTTAGATTCCTCGGGTGAATTTTTAACAGCCTATAGAGATGAATAAAGTTTGGTCCTCACTCTTGAGGAGCAATGTCCATCCACTCTTTTCTAAGATGAACTAATTCTATCTCATTTCAACATTTGTCACTAACCTCATGACTGTCAAATCTGCATCTACATCTGTGCTCTCATGGGACTCTAGTCCCAGCTCCTCAACCAGACACCAGTTAAATGGACAAAATTTAACATCCTTGGCCCATATTATGTGACATAAAGATGGTTTTTCCTAATGCTTTTATTGCTTTGTTTGTTGTTAGAGGACAGGTTGGGACCTGTATTATTTAGGAATTAGGCGTGGCCATTTGACTACTTCTTAGTTATCCTGCAATCTGGCGTTGGCCGCAGTCTCTCCATTAGAACTCTTCTCACTGAGACCACCACCTCCTTGATGCTAAATCTAATTGACCCTTCCATGCCCTTCTCTTGGCCTCTCAACAGCACCGAAAATATTTCTCATTCCTCTCTTACTATGTCTTCATTTTCCTCTCCGAGCTCTCTAAGCGCCCCTCTTTCACGGAACTCATTTGTGAGTTCCTTTTTTGTGTGTGCGTAAATGTCGTAGCTTAGGGTTTTGACCTGGTCTCCACTTAGTGAGGACTCTCCTCAGGCACTCCCAACCACTCCTGCGGCTTCACACACCAATCACATTTATTCTTCTGAGCTCCAGACATTCTCCGCTTGGGTGTCCCACAGGCACCTCATACCTAAGGCGCCCTAATCTCTTACCCCGAGCCTGCTCCCCCTCAGTGGATGGGTGATACACCATCTACCCAGCCACCCAAGCCAGAGTCCCAGGTACCATCTTGGACTTCTGCCTCTCCTTCTGTTCCAACATCCACTCACCACATCTTGACAGTTCTACCTACCAAAGAGCCTTCACACCTCTCAAACGCTGTTCTCTATCCCCTTGGCTACTCCTATCATTTGTCTGGATGACTGCAACAGTACTCTAACAGGCTTTCCTGCTGCTGCCTTCCAAATCTGCAGCCCATTCACCTCTAAACCACAGATCTAGTCATGTCACTCCCCTGTGTAATGCTCGTCACACTGCAGGAGCTCCCCAGCGCCAGACACCCTCACAGGGCCTTGAGGCTCTTCCTCTCCAAGCCCATCCCTTATTATGACCCCCTGCACACACTCCCTCCGCTGACAAGCTCTCCTCCCCGCCTTATTATGCATCCTTATTCTCAGTTCTCAGCAGACCTTCTGCCAACGACTTGCCCCCAGATGCTAGATCCCTACTGTGTACCCCCAGTCCCCTCCACCCTGCCAGCAAGCTGTTGGTTTGCTCCAGAGCGCCCGTCCCGGTTTGCTCACTGTTCCTCTACTAGCTTATCCCCACAGGCTCACTAGGTGGCACTGTTGCACCCTTAGTGCCGCGCCATGGAGGCCCCCTGGTAACTGTCTGGGAGGAATGGATGAATCCATCCCAGTGGAGGACCCAGTTCCATCAAGCCCCACCCCAGCTTTTCTTCAGGCCACTTTCTTCTTTCTCCCTCGCCTCTATCCGTACTAAAGCTCTCTAGCTTGTTTGCTTTAAAATAGAAAATAGAATAAAAACCGTCACCTCACACCTAACACGTTCTTCTCTCTCCCCTGCCTTCCTCTCCCCTCTCCCCCCCTCCCCTCCAACGGGCTCCCCATAGGCAATAAAAGATTTGCATTTTCCCCTAGAATTAGAGATCCAGACCAGGGGGAAGGGTAAGAGATGGGGAGGGAGTAGAACCCGGAGGCTTCTACCAAAGTCAGGGTTATGGAGGTACATTCTGTATCCAGCAAAATCCACCCTTCTTGGTTGTACCGTGTGCATGGATTTAACAAACACACCATCCTGTAACCACCGCCACCATCACGGCAAAACTTTCTTTGTGCTGCATTTTTGTAGTCCATCACCTTCCTCTACCCCCAGCCCTCGGCAAGCGCTTTTCTGACTTCCTCCCTTAGAGTCTTAACTGTTCCAGAACGTCTCTTCTTTAGCTGGGCAAAATGCTCTGGAGATTCAACGCTTTTGAGTTGCACGTATCGATACCATGTTTCCTTTTTACTGCTAAGTAGTAAATCCCCTGTAGGAATGCATGACAGCTCATCCATCCGCTAGCCCGTTGGACGTTCAGGTCGTTTTCACCTTTAGGCAATTATGAATGAAACTGGTATAATTATTTGCATAAAGGTCTTTATGCAGATAGGGATCTTCATTTCCCTTGGGTGGGATTGCTGGTCTGACGGTAAGTATAACTTTATAAGACACTGCCAAACTGGGGTGGAGGGTCCTATGCAAATCACTGGAGAGAGGCTGACCCTACACGGATGGAAACCAATATGATTAACCCAAACACCCACACGAACAGCTGTGGGAACCTTGTAACAGCCAGTGACCAGAAAGGGCTGAGGTCTAGCGTGTTTGAGGGAAGGTGGTAAAAATGAGGACAGGATGACTGTGATACACCCAACGCTCAATGCGAGGAGCTGTCTCCCTGACCCTCCCTGCTGTTCACACTCAAGAGCTTAGGCTGCATCATCTCACATCCACAGGCCATGTGACTCTCCCCAGGCCATTTGAAAATGAATGGATGTTAATGTTTTACATACTCAAAAGACAATAAAATCAGCAATCTGGGGGAGGGGGGGTGTTGTAGAATTGATACAAAAAGAAACAAATGATCTGAACCATATTTCAAATGAGTAACATACACATAAAGGGGCCATAACTAAGCCAAGTAATTTAGACTATTGAGACTATATGCCCTCAGGCTCCAGACAAAAAGAACTTGAAACATATATTGGATTCTAATTAGCAAGCCTTTTTGCCGACGTGGGTTAGTAATTTTGAAATGACATTCTGTACGTTCTAAGATTGAGCAAATAATATATTGTGGATAATGGGAGCCAAGTTTCTCTCTGTTAGAGATGAGAGTTATATACATATCAAAAGGGGGAAGGATGAAAAGTACCTGGGAATTGTTTTTTAAGATTTTATTTTTATTTATTTTTTTTTTAATTTTTTTT